CCACATATGATTCCATCAATATTCATTATACTTGAGAAATTACCTTTGAATTCAAATGGAAAAATAGATCGAAAACTTCTTCCTTCACCTCACTTCTCATCCACACATCTCACAGACACTATAGAACCATTACTACCAACAAATGATATTGAAGTTAGTATTCATTGTATTTGGTGTGAGATATTCAAACAAAACCAAATCTCAATTGATACAAATATCTTTACTATTGGTGGTCATTCATTACTTATGATGCAACTTTTCCATCGATACAAGACCGAATTTCATTTAGAACAAAAGCAAAGTAGTCTCTCGATATCTAATCTATTTCAGCATCCAACAATTATTCACCATGCTCAACTCATTCAACAATCTATCAATACCATCCGTACTATGGATGATTACCCTTGGGCTTCATTACATCTCACTCAAAGTAAACAAAATAATTTGTACTCGATATTATCATCAACTAAATATTTATCTCTTTCTCTCATTCTAGGTAGAGCATCATTTGCACAAGAACGAATCTATTTAGATGAGCAAATCCGTTTTTCATCCAAGAAAACAACGATGAATAATATGTATGTTGTTTCATTACTTTATCGAATATCATCTACGAATGATCATGTATCCATTACTCGATTACATCATGCATTTCAAAGTGTTATCATAAAGCATAATATTCTTCGAACAGCACTTTATATTGATGATACAAATGGTAATATTATACAACATTGCATAGGTGTAAAGGTTGTTCTCGTTGATGACATGAAATCATATGGAATGACAATCGTTAATATTCATAATAATGATCATCGTCATAAGAATGAGATTATTGAAGAAATATTAAATCAATCTGATTTATTTCACTTGTCAAAAGGACATGTTACTCGTTGTCATATTCTTCGTCATTGTTATCAATCTCAAGATAGTATCTCATATGAGGCTGATGATCTATTAACTGAAAATGATTACATACTGATTAGTATTCATCATGCAATGTTTGATGGAGCATCAACACCAATCTTCATTCGTGATCTTTCTCTTGCTTATCAATCGAATGATTCTTTATCCATGGATGAAAATACATTGAATTATATAGACTATTCTGTTCATGAAAATATCATGGATATATCATTATCTCGTGAATTCTGGCATTCTCAACTTGAAAGATACAATATCGAATGTTCATTATCATTACCAGTTGATCGACAACGTTCATCAGCTAATCAACAACGATCAGGTGTAGCATCCATAGCTGAAATAAATTTTGATAACGAAATATGCACATCATTTCTAAATTATGCATCATCACATCATCTTACACTATTTCAACTTGGACTAACAACATTTTATATATTCTTATTTAAATTAACGCATGGTCAAACTGATCTATGTATTAGTTCTATTAATGCAAATCGATATCGAAGTGAATTAGTGAATATGATTGGAATGTTTGTATCAACATTACCATATCGTTTAGAAATTGATTCTAATTGGTCATTGATTGAAATGGTTAAACATGTTCGAGAAAAATGTTTATCAATTCTCGAACATGCTCATTATCCATTACAACATATTCTTGATGATAATCGATTCAATCAATCGAATGTGTCATTTCTTGAGATAATATTTGATTTTATCAGTGTGCCAAAAGATATCAGTTATTTAAGTTTGAATGATGCAAATTTAGAACGAATGTCATTAGAACAATCAGCTGAAGTGTCTAAATTTGACTTCTCATTAACATTTGAATACAATCCATTATTAGATAATAAGAGATTATCATGTCGTTTTGTTTGTTCCCATGATCTGTTTGAAAAACCAACTATTTCAAAAATAGCACAAAGGTTTCAATATATGTTTCAACAACTATTTCAAACACAATCAAGCAACATTCCAGTGATGAATGTGAGTTCATCGATTAACAAACTGTCTCTTATTCTTCCTGAAGAAGCTGAAGAGATGGAATTAGTAGTGTTTCATCGATTGGAGAATATTGTGAATGAAGGTATGATTGTACGCAGCTTGTTCTATTGTTTTATAAAAGTAGTAGTCAGTTAAATCAGAAATGAGAAATATATATTAAAGTGCATTGCAATGTACAGACATACTATTTTAAATTATTAAATAAATTCTAATGGAATAAATAATGAGAAAATAAGAATTCAAATGAGTTGTGATCGTCAATGACTCAGGTTGTCTTTTGCAGGTGTTCTAGTTTTGTAACTTTTTCAAGGGAGATCGCTATAAGCTCTAAATGTGAGATGGCATTGGACTTATGGAGATTTTTCTTAAGAGAGAAATCGGAGCTCAATTATGACGATCTGTGATGTATACTTGCTTTGAATATGTGAATATTCTTTTATTTTTGCATTAATCAACCAAAAATAACATTTGCCATTGCTTGAAAGTTTTATATTTCGTTTTGAGAAACCGAACAACTATGATAGTAGAATCTTTCATAGGCCTGTTTATGTATAAACTTGCACCCTCTCAAAACTAATATACACTCGTAGATTTCATGTCAGAAAACAAATTACACTTAGGTTACTCAGATAGTTGGACAGAGTCGGTAAAATCCAGAATTTGTCTTTGGCAAGACTAGTTCTCTTTGACTTCTAAGTAAACTAAGTAATAAGTATGTGATAGATCATTAGTTATCAGTAATAACTTGTCGAAGTTTTCGGATGTTCAAACTGAAATCGAAGTGAAAAAAATAAAAATTCATGCAATCGAATTTTGAATCACAAAGAAGAAGCTCTTCGGATTCATAGTCGGATTGTATAGTCATAAAACATCGACATCACACGGTTCTCTACCATCAAACATTTCTGTTTGCTTTTTTTCTTCCGATGTTATATATAAAGCTAGTACAAAGAGATTTTTGCTGTTTTCACTGATTAGATGTACGTGTGTAGATTGTAAAAATTGTCAAACATTGGCAGCATATAACTCTTAGAAATTATTTAAATTTCTAGCAAATCATTGTATGATGCCATAATGGATGCCACATTTACGTATTATAGTTCAAGCTTTTATTATGAATATTCCTATTGGTTATACACCTTATTTTATATGAATATTTTATTCAGATTATTCTCTAATATAGCTGCAGAGATTTTAGTTTCAGACTAGTAACTAAAGCTTTTAGTGATCTAGCAATATATGTGAAAAGAATAAAAACGCATAACATATTTTAAATAAATTTTTATATAGTAACTACAACGATTTCATCACGTAGCCTTATATATGTATTTCAAGTGTACTGTAATACTGCTTAGTGATTGAGGGGTTTCTATATATATAAGTTTTCATTGATCGGCGTGTTTGTTTGTATTTGAGAAAGATTTTAGTTGATATATGATGAGGTGTCAAAATGTCGAAAGAAAAATGTCGACAATGAAAACATCGACATGTAAAAACGTCGACAGATGAAAATGTCGACAAGTTAAAACGTCGACAGGTGAAAACGTCGACAAAAAAGATGTCGACATGTGTGGGTGTGAGTGTTCCTTGGTCATCTAAAGAGAACATCCATAGTCATACCCACACACCCACACCCACACCCATACTCACACCCACACTCACACCCACACGCACAGCCACACCCACACTCACACCCACACTCAAACTCACATCTATACCCACACTCACACGCTCAAGATTTAACTTATTCAATCATAAATATAATTCATTCGCAACTGAATTTTTTATTTTTTCAATTTTCGACATTTTTCACTGCGACAATTTGTTTTCGACAATTTACTCTGTCGACATTTTGCACTGTCGACATTCATTTTTGTCGACATTTTGCTTTTCAACATTTTTCATTCGACATTTTGACACTTTCCCATATAAACAAATCTATGTCGTCTCTCAGTTTTGTTTTATCTTGTTTGGTCTATTTCCGATTTTATTATGATGTGTTGTAAGCCTAAAACACAAAAGCATATCTTAGTTATGCAGTTTTCTTTGTCTGAATTAATCGAGATAAGATATTAGTAGATTGTCCTTAGGTAAAAACACATTTGTATTTTTACCGAGTCTTTCAATATTTAAATGCTTATTTTTCGTATCAATTTTTTGTGAGGATAATGCAAATATTTAATAGTAATTGCATGGTTTTTGTGAAATTCTGACGAAAGCCATTCTTCCTAGAATATGGACGATTATTTACATATCATTCAATATTAATATTAGTCAAAATTGCAAGTTTCCGTTTTAGCTGTTTAATTTAGTTATTCAAATAAACTGATCTGTCACCGGTAGAACTTTGGGAGAATACATATTCCTACATGTTTTACTACGAACTGGAGAGATTGAAGTTTAGTAAAATAAGATGATGAAGTCAGAAAAAAACGTAACAATACGCTTAAACTTATTTTTATAACCTTAGATGGGAGTCATATAACAAAAGAAGATTTCTTTAAAACGGATAATAGTATCGAGATGTTTCTGTTAATTATTTCACCATCAGAATGATAAAATATCGACTAGAAAAAAACTTCATAGAAAATGGTACATCATTTAGACAGTCAGAATAGTCAAATTGATGCATTATAACAAGCATTGTACATTCTGTCTTTGAACGGATTTTTCAGACGCAGAAATATCCAAATGTCTCCGTTTTAACATTCAAATCCGTCTTTACATCTTCTTTCTTTGTAATAACTGAGACGCGAAACGTTTAAACACATTTCTCATATTAACGTGTAATAATACTGATATTCTGACATTTCTGTCTGTTCAAAATAATTTTATTCAAAAATATTTTAGCATTTGCATCTTGCTACCATTTTAGTCAGTTCACAAGTTTATTACATCAAGTTCTAATCATTGCTTCTGTAGAGATACCTACAAGATTCGGCTAGACTGAAGAAATTTGCTAAAACGCTTTTGTACTCTTACGCTGCGCATAAAGTAGATTCGAGTAAAGTATGGAAAAATCCTATAAAAAATTAGAGTCATTAAACCTTCTATCGAGAATTGTAGGCAGAAAGTCTAGGGGTACCTATCCTTTTGAAATTTTGCATATCTCATTGAGGTCTACTATATGCACAGAGTTCAAACTCAAAACTGATTTGTCACTTGTGAACTTTCTCTTGTCAGATAAGCTCCACTTAGAGATTGCATTAAAACTGGACTATTTTTGTGGAAATCTAAGGATTTTGTCAATCTATCACAATTCTCTTCGAATATTTATAGGAAGCGAACACGGCAATAACCCATAAATTCATAGATTCAAAAGGAATTAAACTCATCCTGTTCAAACAACTCGTGAAAAATTAACATTATATCTCAGTCTTTTTAGTTCTTTTATCATACTAGAATCTTCTGATGCCTTTATTTCTTTCAATCTCTGTATTATTGAAGAGAAGAATTTGAAGATGTAGATTGTAAGCAACACTCATACTCTCCTCTCAAAAGAAAGATTAAGAGAAATAAAAAAACTAAACAAACTAAAAGATGTAAATAAACTGAAAGGAGTCATGAAACTAAATGATGATTTCATTGTTATATAATCTGTCAGAGATGTGCGGGGCAGTGATTTTTGATGCCCCGCGGGCCCCGCCCCGCGTATTATGTTAAATGCGTCCCGCCCGCCCCCGTAGTTAAATTCTTATAACTCTTCCCCGCCTCGTCCGTCCCGTCAAATTTTAAAACCCGCGCCGCCCGTCCCCCGTGCAATTTGCTTTTTTTCTTAGCCCGCCCGCCCTGTCAATTTTCTGACGGGGCCCCGCCCCGCCCGTGTTACCTCGAGAATATTCCAATTAATAATTAAAGTTTCATAAATTGTTTATTTTGTATATTTAATTTATTTATCATTTAACGAGATTTATTACAAGAAAAAATATTACACATTGTGCATACTAAGCGTTTAAATAAAAACCATCAGAACGAACACGGTTATATGAATTTCAGTTCGGCTCGAAATTCAGAAATTTTTCGACCTATTGTTCTACGGCCAGATAGGCCTTTCGAACGGAACATTAACATAATTAATCAACCTTATTATTAATTAATAAACTTCATAATACACAGAACCATGCACTTTCAGAAATCGTAGTGATCAGCAGGACAGCAGTGCTGAATATTATGCTATTCTACCGATCATTGCGATCTCAAAAAATGCATGATGTTGAGCACTTTGAAGGTTATTATTTGACAATAAAAATTAAATAATTAATTAAAGATACAAAAAATTTATTCTGACTTTGGCCTCGACCCTAAACATTTTGAAATTTCTGGCTTGACCGAATGCCCGAGACAAAAAAATCTGTGGGCTTAAATTTAGTGGTCCTATCGAGCCAAAATCATATCGTTGACTGAAGATAGATTTATGTTACTTATCCTTTGAGATATAATAACACCAGCTGAAATAAATGAACGTTTAACTGCTGCTGCTGAAACTGAAATTTAGAATATCTTTTTTGTTAGTTTGGACTAATTAGGTATTACACATTTTTGCTCTTGCCAAAAAAGTGGATTCTTTAGTTACCTTCACGATCATAGGTGTAGAATAATCAAGTAATCGATTTATTTCTTATCACAAGTGTAATATAACGATGTCTACCGATTGCTCTTGACGGTCCTCTATCGAATTTCCGAAAAGTTTTTACCCGCCCGTAACCTGTGAAAAATTATCCTCGCCCGCCCGAGGATCGTACTAATTTATTTTTTTTTGTACCCGCCCGACCCGCCCGCCAGCGTATAACATCCGTGGCCCGCCCGACCCGAGTAACTTTTTCAAAAAACTGTCCCCGCGGGTCAAAACCCGTGACCCGCACACCTCTGTAATCTGTTAGATCAGAATAACTTTGATTTCTTGTGAATCTCTCAAATCGACTGTCTTTAATAGCAAGAGTTGTTGACAACATTCAAATATAATGATCAATTTTGTTAGTGGATTCCAGTGCCAACAGGAAGGTTATTCATAATTTTGACATAGTTATGTACTCTTCCACAACCTACACTCTAAAACAATTTGGTGCTCTACTGAACCCCCAAAAAAGGTTTCGCCGTTGCGAAAAAGTTTTCAAACATGTTGAAAGTTTGAAAAA